CTGCCACTACAGGGGACACAAGTTTGATCCCTGATCCTGGAAAATCCAACATGCCACGGGGCAACCAAGCCCATGTGACGTGACTACTGAATCCACACCTAGACCACATGCTCCGCAACATGCATCATAACAAAGAGTAGACCCCATTGGCCACAACTAGAGAAAGTCTGCTCACAGCAACAAAGACCAAGCACAGCCAAAAATAAAAAATAAAAAGAAACATTAGAGAAATAAGTTTTAACCTTTTCCTTACCCTCCAGGAGTTTATAAATGAAACTGAAGTTGTTCAGTCATGTCCGACTCTTTGCTACATGGACTATAGCCTACCAGGCTTCTCTGTCCATGGGATTTTCCAGGCAAGAGAACTGAAGTGGGTTGCCATTTCCTTCTCCAGGGGATCTTCCAGATCCAGGGATAGAATCCGGGTCTCCCACATTGCAGGCAGACCCTTTGCCCTCTGAGCCACCAGGGAAGAAGCTCCCTCCAGCAGAGAGTTTATACTCAGGTTCAATTTAAGGGCTTAACTACAGACTATAACATAGTACTAATATGTATATGATACTAAACATTAAATAATGTTTAAATTAAATAAATAATTAAATTAAATTAATTAATTTAAATAAATACCAATAATATGATACAGTTAATGTAAAAAGTGGTAGGAAAGAAAGAGATGCTTGTTATACCCTGTAATGATAAATCACCAAATACCATCCATTTTATTTTCTAATTTTTTTTGGTTTTATCCTTTCTTCTCTAACTTCATCACTAATATCCTCATAAACTCTATCCTACATCACCATAGTTGCATCCTAACTGATCTCAGCGTGTATCTCCTACCGTCTAATCCATCCTGCATACTACTGTCCGGAATGATCCTTCTAAAGTATAAATACAAAACTCTGTCTTAAAATTCTTTTTAAAATAGTTTGTCTACTAATTTATTGAGCTCTTATGACATGCCAGATACTACATTAAATACTTTATATACTCTTTTATTTTTATCTTTTAATTTCTTATTGGTCTCAGTTGTGGCAGTTGGGCTTTCTCTAGTTCCGGCACGAGGGGAGCTTCTCTTGTGGAGCATGCGCTCTAGAGTGGCAGGCTCAGTATTGTGGCTCCTGGGCTTAGTTGCCCCACAGCAAGTAGGATCTTCGTTTTCTGACCAGGGATTGAACCCACATGCTCTGCATTGGAAGGTGGATTCTTAACCATTGTACCATAAGGGAAGTCTGATACATTCTCTCTTGTTATCCTCATTGCAGTTATCGGAGACTGACATATTATCCCTGTTTTGTAAGTTTACTCACTCATTAAACATTTATCGAGTTCTTATTATATTCTAGGCTGAGTTTTAGGCCCTGAGACCATAACAATAAACAGATGAAGCCACAAGTTCTCTGATATCATAGCCTATAGTATACTCTTAATTACTGACTGTACTGTGACCAGTGTTGTCACAGTGTCTTTCTGGATAACTTCATGCAGCTTAACATACCAACCCATACCTGCTTCTTTGGTTTCACCTGTTATTGCCACCCACATGTTTCTACATCTTTCTCAAACTCAATGACTTTAGATCCTTAACCATGACAAGCCTTGTCATTCCTCTTTCCTTTGCATAAATTGTATTTTCTCTCTCTTTATTTATTTATTTAAATTTTTGCATCTTTGCTTAGCTAAACTCTTCCTCTAGTAATCTAGGAATTTTCTGTCCCTCTATATTCCCAGTCTAAGGAGAATGTTCCTTCTTTGTGCTCTTATATATTCTGTGTTATGTGCTTTGTACATACTTCTATATTGTAGTGCATTGGTTGGTTTACCTCTCAGCCACCCTCCTAAGCTGTGGGTTTCTCTGAAGGTAAGAACAGTGTTGTCTTCATCTCTGTATCCTAATTACTGCCATAGTACCTAACATATAGTAGACCCTTAATAAATCTTTGTTTTGAATGAATGAATGTAAGATCGTGAGAAAATGTTCTGCAGATTTATGCATGATCATCATGTGTTGAGAATATAATAAGAATCGACCTCAGTAAAGTGGCAGATTCATGTTAGTTAAATTGAAAAGAATAAAGGAGTAAAGCAAGGTCAGATTATAGATGGTTTCAAATACCAGTTTAAGGAGTTTTAATTGCTCTAATAAGGGCTAGTTAGCCATTTAAAATTTTTGAGTAAGGGACTGACATAACATTTACATACACATAAGAGTTTAGAAATGTAAGAAGTCCCAAAGGACTTTCTCTTTATTTCTCATTTCTATTTTTAAATCAAACAAAAATTTCCCCATACACTACTGTCAGCTTATTTTTGGACTCACAAGCCATTAGAACTGGAAAGAATTTTAGATTTTTGCCTATCGATCTCCTGTTTAATAAAAGAACTGAGAAATAAACATTGCCAAGGTCAGGAAAGTCAGCACAAAACCCCAGTTTTCTCTTTCTTTTATATTTCCCTAATCACTGTGTGTGTGTGTGATTTTTTTTTTCTCCCTCCAATAAAATACCATTTGGAAAAAATTATGGTAGAGTTTGGTTTTCTGGGGACCCTTTTGTATTTTACATGTTATTGTTTCTCACAGGATATTTTTCTGCATGTCTCCAGGTCATCAGATCCTTAAAGTACATCAGATAAAAGGGACTGTACTCATTGGAGTCAATTTTGTGGGCTATTCAGAGAAGAAAAGTCCAAAGGTAAGTGGGGACTGTTATATGAAAAATATTAATTAACTGAAATTTAAGGCTCCTTCAGTTCAGTTCAGTTCAGTCGCTCAGTCGTGTCCGACTCTTTGCAACCCCATGAATCGCAGCACGCCAGGCCTCCCTGTCCATCACCAACTCCCATAGTTGACTCAAACTCATGCCCATCGAGTCGGTGATGCCATCCAGCCATCTCATCCTCTGTCGTCCCCTTCTCCTCCTGCCCCCAATCCCTCCCAGCATCAGGGTCTTTTCCAATGAGTCAACTCTTCACATGAGGTGGCCAAAGTATTGGAGTTTCAGCTTCAGCATCAGTCCTTCCAATGAACACCCAGGACTGATCTCCTTTAGGATGGACTTGTTGGATCTCCTTGCCATCCAAGGGACTCTCAAGAGTCTTCTCTAACACCACAGTTCAAAAGCATCAATTTTTCAGCACTCAGCTTTTTTCACAGTCCAACTCTCACATCCATACATGACTACTGGAAAAACCATAGCCTTGACTAGACGGACCTTGTTGGCAAAATAATGTCTCTGCTTTTTAATATGCTATCTAGGTTGGTCATAACTTTCCTTCCAAAGAGTAAGTGTCTTTTAATTTCATGGCTGCAGTCACCATCTGCAGTGATTTTGGAGCCCCCAAAAATGAGGTCTGACACTGTTTCCACTGTCTTCCCATCTATTTCCCATGAAGTGATGGGACCAGATGCCATGATCTTAGTTTTCTGAATGCTAAACTTTAAGCCAACTTTTTCACTCTCCGCTTTCACTTTCATCAAGAGGCTCTTTAGTTTCTCTTCACTTTCTGCCATAAGGGTGGTGTCATCTGCATATCTGAGGTTATTGATACTTCTCCCAGCAATCTTGATTCCAGCTTGTGCTTCTTCCAGCCCAGCGTTTCTCATGATGTACTCTGCATATAAGTTAAGTAAGTGGGGTGACAATATACAGCCTTGACGTACTCCTTTTTCTATTTGGAACCAGTCTGTTGTTCCATGTCCAGTTCTAACTGTTGCTTCCTGACCTGCATACAGGTTTCTCAAGAGGCAGGTCAGATGGTCTGGTATAGTCTATAAATATAGCTGATGTAAATCTGAACATCATGTACCTTTATGATTGTGCTATCTTTGGCTTTTGAAAGAGTACTGGACTCTTCACTCCCTGAGATGAGGAATTAACAGTTGGTGTTGACCATCATGGTTCTTCCTACATTTCTAGGAACTTTCCAACTTGCCCAGATCTGCGGCTGTGGAGCTGCTCCTGGTAGATGATGTAACAGTATTGCCTGAGAATGCCACCATCTATAACCACCCTGATGTGAAGGTAGGAGCTGTATGGTTCTAGCTAAATGGAATCATGATGGAGGGGAGAGTTCTAGCTTATTAAAATTAATAGTATAAATATAAAAAAGCTCATATGTGTTAAAAATCACTGATACATATATAATGTATATATAATAAGTATCCTTAGCACTAGTACTTTAATAATTATATTTGGTCTTTGGTCTATTGATTTTAATCTTTTATTTATTTATTTATTTTTTAAATAAAAAGTTTTATTGGAGAAAAATAGAACCACCGCGTACACAGGGAAAAGAGCACAAAAATTCAACTGATACAGAACTGAAAGTCACAACTACCCAATGTTGTTTGCAGTTATTTTTCAATTTCTTAAATGGCTTCCCTCAATTTTTAAATAGTCTTGCCAATTTTTTTCAGCTGCATCAAATTTCAAGTGCAACAAGTTTTCAAAAAATTAAGAGCCTTAGCGAAGGGACCAGCTTTTAAGATAACAAAGGTGACACCAAGTCTCCTAATAGGACCAATTCTACAGAAAAATTCCTGAAGCACATAGCTACTGAGTCTGGTAGAACAGTAGCTCAGAGACCATCAGGGATTAGTTAGAACACTGACTCAGACGGTCCAGTATGCAGAGAGGGCAAAAAAAAAAAAGCTGCATTTCCCTGTCAGATGAGTTCATGTAAGAAAACCAAGGAGGTGCTAAGAAAATACAGGCAATGGCTGCTCAAAATAATTAAGAAGGCATTCTAAATACCACATATTATTAGACAACAGTGTGTAAAGTGATGCAATTAGAAAACAGGCAACTTAAAAAAAAGTATGGTCACAGGTCTTTGAGAACTCAAGAAAACAATCAATAGCAAACACAAGAGCTGAAAGTCTTCTCAGCTGATGGTCGAAAGTGAAAGTGAAGTCGCTCAGTCGTATCCGACTCTTTGCGACCCTGGACTGTAGCCCACCAGGCTCTTCCGTCCATGGGATTCTCCAGGCAAGAATACTGGAGTGGGTTGCCATTTCCTTCTCCAGATTTTAATCTTTTTTTTTTTCAGAGGTGAAAACCCCCCTTTATTGTTCTTTCTGCACGCAAAATGCTGGTGGTCAGTTGCCTACATGCTAGCACATCTGAGAGAGCCCAGTTCTGGGTGGGAGGTCTTGTCATCATTGCAGTTGGTAGCCCAGTGCCCAAACATCTCGCAGATTTCACAGTATGGGCGTTCCTCGCTCCGACTGCCGTGGTGTGCAGAGTGGGGAGGGTCCTCAGACATCTGGGACTGGGTGGGACAATCCTCTGTGTCATGCAGATCAAAGCAGTCACATACGTCACAGAAGAGGCGGGGTTTCTTCTTGGACTGTTTTTCCTGGTCATCGCTGTCGTAATTGTTCAGGTCATCCCCGTCCCCGTTCTAGGCTGCTTCTGACATCATCTCCACCTTCATCGTGAGGTCCTGATTCTTGCTCTGAAGGTCTACTACTACTACTGAATTGAGGAAGCCAATCCGACTCTCCTGGGCTCTTTCGTCCTCTTCTGCCTGAGTATCAGTATTACCCGAGGAGCTGCTGAGCTGCATCTTGTTTTCTTTGAGTTGAAGCTCCAAGTTCTTTACCTTGAGCTCAAGCTTCACCTTATCAGACTCTAGAGACTGAACAACTGAATGCAGGGACTTGGCAGACGCGTTCTCTCCCCTGAGCACCGTGACCTCATTTCTTAGCTTTTCCAGCTCCGCATCCTTTTCTGTGAGTAAGGCACTAGTGAAACTGATGGATTTCTGCAAGGAAGCTTTTTCTTCATCTGCGTCTTTTATTAACTTGGATTCTCTCTTTTTCATTTCTAAGAACTGATTATTGAGTACAGATCTCTCTTCTTCCAGCTTTCGGTGACTGGTGACTTCGTCCCTGCTCCTCCCCAGCTCCTGGTTAAGTTTCACGTTCTCTTCTTGCAGCGCTGAGAGCTGCTGGGACTTCTAAGCTGCTGCCTGCTTCAAGGTTTCCACTTTTCTTTAATTCTTCTAGTTTTTGGTTCTATACCATCAGAAGCTCTTTTGATTTGTTCAGCTCTTCCACGTTTTTCAAGTTGGTGTCTTTAAGTGTATCCAATTTGGCTCCTTCGGCTTGCTTCCCCAGCTCCTCCAGCTTCTGCAGCAGCTCGCAGTTCTCCTCCTGTGCGGCCTTCAGCCGCTCCTCTGTGTCCCGGAGCAGCTTGTGGAGGTTCTGCAGGACTTCTTCGTGCTTGGCTCTGCTCTCAGAACTGGCTTCCTCGTACCTGGCTTTCAGATCTTGACACTCGTTGCGGCTCATTTCCATCTTCTTTTCCAGGTATGACAGTTTTCTCAGCAGTTCTTTCTTTTCTTCCTCATGCTTTTTAGCTGCTTCTTTCTGACTTTGTTCGGCTTTGAGAGTTACTTCCCCGATACTTTTCTGCAGGAGGCTTGTGTTTTCGTTAGCCTTGGTGAGTTTCAGCTGTAATTCTTCTACATCTCTTTCTTTCAGACATAGTTCGTCGTTCATTTTTGTCAGCTGAGAAGAATTGTCTCCAGACATTTTCATTATTGCTGCAATGTCATTTTCCAGTTTTTTCTTCGCCTTTAATAGCTGCTCTTTCCTTTCATCTCTCTCTCTGAATTTTGCCTTCATATCTTGCATACTTCTCTGAAAAGAGACTGCCTCCTCTGAAGCATCAGCGAACTTTTCTTTCAAAGTCTGCAGTTCTTTTTCCAAAGCCTCTTTCACTCGGCTGACTTCGCTCAAGTTTTCCTGAAGGTTATTAAGCATTAGCTCTTTTCCCTGCAGCTCTCTGGTGATGCTACTAGCCTTGCCGCTTTCAGCATCCTTTTCACTCTCTAAGCTTTTAATCCGTTTCTTAGCTGCTTTGAGCTCCTGTCTGAGGTCCTCGATTTCCGATTTACCTTCAGAGCTGGCTTTCTGAGGTGCATCAAGATCCGAGAGCTTTTCTTTGGCAGCCTTGAGCTGTGATGTAAAATGATCAATAACCTTGGTTTGCTCATTGCATTTGGCTTGTAGCACCTCTAGCTCCTTTACCTTTAGCTCGGCTTCCTGCAGTTTGTTTAAGGTGTCCTCCATTTCCACTAGGTGCTGGTCTTCCGCTTTGTCCAGCTTCGGCTGGATGGCTTCCAGACTGTTCTCCTTCTCTTTAATGACTTGCATCAGCTTAGCCTTTAGGGCTTCGAGCTCTTTCATGTGAGCACACCTTTCCAAGTCCTGTCTGTTCTGCAGCTTTTCTATTTCCTGCTGGTGGTCTAGTCTCATCTTCTCTATCTGCGTTTTTAACTCCGCAAACTCACCTGTCTCGGTGCCAACCCCCTTGCTGAAGGACACCTTCAGCTCCTCCATGGCCTGCTGGTGGGACGCAATGGCTGTTTCCAGCTTGGACTTCCACAGGATGATCACGTCTGAATTCTCCTTGTTGGCGTGGTCGAGCTTGCTTTTCAGGGACTCATTCTCACTGGAAAGCTTCTCTGTGGCGGCCTGCAGAGCCTTTAACTCCTTCTGGTGTGTTTCTTCCCAGGCTCCAAAATGCTACCTCAGAGAAGCGACTTCTTTCTGATGGTCACTATGAGTGGCTTCTATCTTCTCCTCCAAGGCGCTGATCTCTTGCAAGAGGGACAGTGACATGTCCACATCCCCAGCCAGCTTATTGGACTCCAGCCGCCTCCGCAGCTCAGCTACCTCCTGCACTCGCAAAGCGAGGTCTTTCTCGAGTTCCACGATGCGGGACTTTTCTGACACCGTGGCCACCTCAAGATCGCCCTTAGTAATTGACTCTTCGTCAATCCGGAACTGAAGGTCCTCAACCTTCCTTTTCTCCTCTTCAAGTTGGTTAAGTTCCACCTTCTCCCAGTCGGCAGCTTCCAGCATCGTTCTAAGCTGGTCCATCTTGGCCTCCAACTCCAGGACATGCTGGTCATGTCCGTCCCGGGCCAGGGCGAGCTCCTGCTCTATCTCCCCGACGTGGCTCGTGGCCTTGGCCACCTCCGCCCTCTCTAGATCTCGTTCGGCCAGCAGCTGCTCAATATGCTGCTGCTTCTCCTTCAGGGCCTCCTGGAGGGCGGTGGTGCCAGAGATCTTCCTGGCGTAACAGGAGGAGGTTTCGGTCAACAGTCCTGTCCAGCTGGGCTTGCTGCTCACGGAGGAGGCCATGGAGCTCATGGAGCTGAGAGAGGAGGTGGATGGGCTGCACTTCATGCTGGCCGGCGTGGTTGCCATCACTCGCCTCACTGCCGCGGCCTTGGCTTTGGCTGGCGTGGTGGAGGGGAAGCCAATCTTGGTGACTTTGTGGATGGGAGCAAACAGGCCGTATTTGGGTTGCCACTGAAAATACCTTGTTCCAGCAACAGCCCTGTCATTCTTCCCCAGAGGTTCATCCAACTCCACGCCGTACCACTCCCCCTTGGCAAAGTCTGTCTCCCCAAGAAACCGGACTACACCAGCCTTCGTGCCACCAACCAATACTCAGTCTCCGATTTTTAGTTCTCTCTCTCCTTTCTTGATTGAGCCGGCCTCTGATAGGTTGTAGATAGATTTGCTGGCGGTTTTCATAAAGTTGCTGATCTGAGATGCAGCTGAAGGTTCTTTTGCAGTGGGTTGGGACAGTCTGCGGGGAATATATGAGGGGGTGACTCGGGACGAGGACGCCATGCTGACTGCCGAAGTGGACTGAGGCGAAGGGGCCCTGGCAGCGGGAGTCGTCTGCGGGCCGTCAGCTTCAGCCCCGGCCCGCGCCTCCCTCGTCAGCTTTGAAGGCCGGGTGAATATGCCCTTCAGAGGCTCACACTGGAAGTACCAAGCTCCTACCACCGAGCCGTCGTTCTTGCCGATGGGTTCATCCAAAATGATCCCGGCCCACTGGCCTGGTGCAAACTGGGTTTCTCCCAGGAACTGGATAAACCCAGGCTTATTCCCGTTCACCCAAACTTGCTCCCCAACTCGGAAGTCATCCACAAACTCCTCTTGTGTCTCAGAGGACGGAGTGCTTGAGGCTTTTTCACTGGATGGTGTGTTTTCTGTTGGAGCGACAACAGCAGCGGGTGTCTTCAAGGCTGTGCTTCCAGGCTTCAGGATCTTGGTGGGGGCCTTAAGCCTGCTTGGTTTTAGCATACTCATTGCCTTCTATGTTAGAGCTTTCTCTCCGTTGCCTGTTGCCACTATCTTTCCCTTGTCTTTGATACAACTGTGGTTGATGCTACAGTGCAGTCAGTCTCTGGGTTAAATCAGTTTGGTAGGCAGCTTCTGCTGCCATCTCTGAAAGACTGATGTCAGTCATCCAGGTGGTTTCCAACTTCAGGTACTCTTGCTGTTTTGAAGTCATCTCAACTCTGGCTCCTATAATCACCTGCCATACTTCATCTTCCTCCTGTGAATTCATTTTCCCAAGTAAACTTGTGTATTGTCGGTACAGAGAAATTAAGGTATAAACAGCCTTAGTATATTCAGTGATTGCTTCAATCAATGCATATGCGGTCTGAGAAAGGTAGAGGTGCTATCTGTTACCAAAGACACAGCCCTCCTCATTAATGTATCGTTACTAAGAGAATGAGGCTCCGGTTTCTGGGCAATAGGGACTGCACACAGAGTGACCCCGAATCCCACAGCCACCGTTTTGTGCCATGGTCTTAGCAATTCCGAGAAACAGCGCTTCTTAAAGTTAGCCACGACAGGAACACACTGTCTGTACCTGAAAAGCGAGGATACGCTCCGAGAAAGCCAACTCTGTAGAGCCGCCATTCCGCGGCGGCAGGACTCCAGAAGCACACGCCGGCAGTGATGGCACTCCGCGAGCAGGGGGCGGGGAGCGGCCGCCTCCTGAGCGGGCTTAGTCCCGTGACCACGCCCCCGCCCGAGAGCGCAGTCGGGATTGGACCAGATTTTAATCTTTTAATGTCATACTCTTTCTTAGGTAAGTAGAAATTATTTTCTTTGAAATAGTAATAATCCAAAGGGAATGGAATATTATTTGTCTTGATTTTTCCATAGGAAATATTTAGCCTTGTGGAAGGATCTGGTTATTTTTTAGTCAACAGTAGTGAGCAAGATATTGTCACCATCACTTACCTGGAAGCAGAAAGCTCTGTCCAGGTGAGTTCTGGAAATATACCCAGATCGACGGTCTCGGGTCAAAGCTCATTCTTAGGAGAAGGATTGGAAAAACTTTATTGGGCATTTCAAACTTGTTACAAACAATAACATTTGTGTCATTTTATTTTTTTAACCTATGTAGATTCTTAAACAAAAAAATGAGTTGTGTTTTTTTTGTTTTTTTTTTTGTAACTGCCTATAGAAGGAAATGGCAACCCACTCCAGTATTCTTGCCTGGAGAATCCCATTGCCAGAGGAGCCTGGTGGGCTACAGTCCATGGGGTTGCGAAGAGTTGGACACGACTGAGCGACTTAGAATAGCATATAATATGGGGAAATTTTTGGTTCTGATTGAATAGAAACAGTGTAGGAGACATCTAACTATAAGATTTCCATTAAAACAAGGTTCAGAAAGAGTAAAACAAGTATCATATATTAACGCATATATATGGGAGTTTAGAAAAATGGTTCTGATGAACAGAACCATTCTGCGGACACAGTTGGGGAAGGTGAGGGTGGGACAAATTGAGAAAGTGATATTGACATATATACACAATCATGTGTAAAGAAGATACTTAGTGGGAAGTTACTAAATAACACAGAGTCCAGCCTGGAACTCTGTGATGACCTAGAGGGGTGGGTGGCGGGAGGGGAGGGCGGCTCAGGAGGAAAGGGATAGATATAAGACTATGAGCGATACACGTTGTACAGCAGAAACCAACACAAAATTGTAAAGTGATGGTCCACCAATCAAAAAATAAATAAAAAATTTAAAAAGAAGGTTAATTTTTTATAAATTTCAAAGCATAGAACTGTGTGCATAGTTAAATATACTGTTGACTTTATAACCTGAGTATATGGTGTTTTCAGCCAGACATGGCAACTCAAAATATTAATCTGGCTCCATAGTCAATATGCCAAGGGATTTTCTTTTAGTTGACTTGCAGTAATAAAAAGTGTACCTTAAAAAAAAAAAAAGTGTACCTTAACATATGTATTTATTTCCTTCAAAGAGCTCAAAGGAATTTAACTTACTGTAGTCATAATGTTGCTTTTTGAATGGGGAGACTGAGGCCCTGCATGCCAGCAAAGGATGTAAAAACCATCCTGCTGTGCAGGAGCTGTGTGTAGCACAAGAAGGAAAAACGAAGCATCGATCCACCCTGTGCTCTCTCTCCCTACTCGTGATTGCACTGTAAATGTCCCTGGTTTTCTTCCTGAATCCTTTCCCTGTTCAGAATTTAAAAACTGGATATGAACGTTGGATTCTGCTTGAAATCAATCAATTTAAACTCTTCTCTTTATCATTAATAAATATTTGTTAAGGGTACATATTTTGCCACAAACTGAAGCATCACTTTAAGGGGACATATTATGCTATGCCTGAAACTTATAATGTGACTTCTCAGAGTTTCTATCACAAAGAAAATAAGATACTGTATTTTCTACTTTGGATGGAAATAATTGCTCTGATTATGCTTGGAGCATGTTTACTTCTTTATCCAGCTGCAATCTTCTTCCCTCTAGTTAGTTCCCTTACATCCTGGAATTCTCACCTTGGAAGTCTATGATCTGTGTTTGGCTTTCTTGGGCCCAGCAATGGCTCACCTAAGGGTGTCAGACATACAAGAGCTGGAGCTTGATCTGATTGATAAGGTGAGAAATGTTTGCTTTATCTCTTAAGGGAAGCAGGTGTCTTTCTCACTCACTAGTGTCACTTAAGATAGTCTGTGCTCAGCTACTGTGTGTGTTTGCCAGGCCCTTTGATAATGTTAATGGAAATACCTGCCCTTAAAGAACACCATTCCAACATTAATCATGATGAAGATAGAGTGTTAAAGAACAGCTTAAAAGAATACACATAGATTACACTTACTTGCTCAAAGGCTGATCAAGAACATTTAGCATGAACCAAAGGGCTTGCCACCTCTGCATTAAACTGCCCTAGGTAAATGAGACAGCTTTACTAAATTACCTTTTAATTTCTTTTTTAATTTTTATTTTTATCTACCAGGTTGAAATAGGTAAAACTGTGTCAGTAACTGTGAGGGTTCTTGGCTCTTCCAAACGCCCATTCCAAAATAAATACTTCAGAAACATGGAGCTCAAATTGCAATTGGCTTCTGCCATTGTGACCCTGGCGTAAGTACCATTTCAGTACTTCTTTCTCCTTAAGTTTATTTTCATGAGAATATCCCTCCTGGTAGCCTGGTTATCCCTCCCTTAGGTTATTTCAGATTTTCTTCTTTCCTTTTTTGTCACAGTATCTTTCAGCCCACATTCTCTTCCCGTATTCAACTCTTGACAAAATACCCCTTCCACATCCTCAGATGTCTTGTTTTGGGACTAATATGTGTCTCATTAACATTTCTATTTTATGGAACTTCTTGGATGATATACTTTGGGGATGCTTCAGGCTTGAGGACCTTCAAAAACTCTATCTAGAAGTAGAGGCACTGGTATTCCCCTCTGCAAAAGAAAAAATACAGTAATTCTGAGGCAATTTAGTATTTGTAGTTTTGCCAGGCTATGTTTATATTGCCCTTATTCCTTTGGAGACTTAGAACAAGTATTTGCCCTTCAGGAGCTTCCCGCCATTGCTCTGAACTTTGTCTTGACTCTGAAAGTTATTTTCTGGCAGTTCCTTTTAACCTGGGGTAAAATGAGCAGAAGATTGGGAATTCCCTGGGGGTCCAGTGATTAGGATTCTGTACTCTAAGGGCTATGTGTCCGAGTTCATTCCCTGGTTGGGGAACTAAGATCCCACAAGCATCTTAGAAAGATGTATAACTGGCCAATCTTAAAAACAAATCTTTCTCACCTAGAAATTCATGGGTCTTTTCAGGCTAATGGAGGAACAAGATGAATACTCTGAAAATTATATCCTTCGAGCTATCACTGTTGGGCAAACCACACTTGTAGCTATTGCCAGGGACAAGATGGGGAGAAAATTCACATCAACCCCTCGGCAAATTGAAGTAAGGAAACTATCTCATCCAAAATTCATACTTCATCTTGTTTATAAATGTACAAGTTTTATAAATATCCAGTGGTTAGGACTCCATGCTTTCACTGCTTACATCATGAGTTCAATCCCTGGTTGGGGAACTAAGATCCCACAAGTTGTGAAGTATGGCCAAAAAAAGTAATTGTAAACATAATTTTAATGACCACTTTTATTCCAGTGAGCAGATACACAATAACTTATTTAAGCATTTTCACTTAAGTAATTTATAATTTTTTTGCTATTAAAATGAAAGTTTGTGTTTATAAAATAAAATACCTGTCTTTGTATACAACTTCATTGTACATAATTAAGATTTTTTTTTTCCCTTAGACTAAGCTGCATGATCATTTGTTGTGAAGTTAACTCTAGTTAACCACTGTTGTCCTTTTGGTTTTCTCCTTCAAGGTGTTTCCTCCATTTAGACTTGTTCCGGAGAAAATGACACTGATTCCAACTAACATGATGCAGGTGATCCTAAAGCCAAAAATGAGCCTTTGTCTTCATCCCACCTCTGCCCCACCCCAATACACATATACACCTCTTCCTGTTGGCATTCCCTTGTCCCCTGTCAACCAAGTACAACAGGATCTGATAAAGAAGAAAATTAGTATTTTCTTTGTTCTATGATAATCGTGGTATGAACTACTTCTTGGAATCCCATGGATTATTTATAGCACTTCTTTTTCCTCTGCATTTGAGCTGATATGGCATATGCTGGTTGAAAAGTGGGGGAAGATGAAGTTCAGTTGCTCAGACAGAATGTTGGAAAAGGAGATGTGACTTCTCCTCAAACTCCAGCATTCATTGGTGTGTTTAAATTTCAGGTGATGTCTGAAGGTGGCCCTCAGCCTCAATCTATCATTCATTTCTCCATCAGTAATCAGACTGTGGCTGTTGTTAATAGGAGGGGCCAAGTTACAGGGAAGGTAGTTGGCAGAGCTGTGGTCCATGGCACCATTCAGACAGTAAATGAAGATACTGGAAAAGTCATTGTGTTTTCCCAGGTATCGGTTCTTCGTTCTGCT